ATTGGCCTAATTTCAGCATTTCTGTAATTTGTACACCCAAATTGAATAACATTGGCCTAATTTCGAAAACATCTCAACCCAAGCATTGCCCTAAATTTTAATTTCAATCACAATGCCCTAATTTCCAGCATTCACATTCTGATTTCTGTGTGTGTGTATATATATATATGTATGTATGTGTGTGTGTGTGTAAACAGAGAGAGACCGAAAGAGAGAGGGAAATCGAGAGGGAGATGCAGAGAGAGGGAGAAACAGATGCGAAATGGAGGACATACCTGGGAGGGAGACTATGTGATGATCCTGATGAACTTGCGGTGATGGCGATGGAGACAAAGCTATAGAGAAGAGGGCATAGGCGTGAGTGAGACCCAATCAAAAACTAATGTAAACAGCGAGAGAGAGAAAGATGGAAACCGAGAGGCCATACAGAGAAGGAGAAACAAATCGAGAGGGAGATAGGGAGAGAGAGAGAGAGGCGAAATAGAGGACATACCTGGAGGGAGGCGAAATGGAGATGGAAACAGCACAGTGACAGAGGTGGGAGTGAGAGAGGGAGGGAAATAAAACCACGAAATGTTTATTCCCGACCAAACTTTATTTTGGTCGGTAATATATTTATGAAAAATAAATATTCCCTCCAAACGATTTTGGCCCTTTTGGCTACTGAATTAGAGTCGGTAAAGCAAACAGATTTAGCGACCAAAATTTAAATAGTCACCCAAACCCTATTTTACACGACTAGCACACATTTGTAGCCAAAAATTGATTAATAATATCTCCGAAAAGGTGCTTTTCCACGACTAACACACAATTAGTAGCTAAAAGTTAAATGAAAACCAATAAAAAAAATTTATAATTTATAATGACAGTGCAATTAGCGACCAACATCATCTTTAGTCGCCAAAAGTAAAGACAATTCCGACAACATGTATATTTAGTAGCAAAAAAGTGGTCTTTTACTGACCAAAAAGGTTTGGTAGCTGATGCATGTACCTTCGGCGACCAAATATTGTTTGGTAGCTAATCTGTCTACCATTGGCGACCAACTTTATTTTAGTAGCTAGTTGGTAGACCTTTGGCGGCTAAATTTACTTTAGTTGGCAAAATTAGTCGCCGAATGTGTTCTTTGTTGTAGTGCCTTAAGGTCGTATTTGTTTGGCTTTATGAGTGAGAGGATTTGACTAATAATGAGGGAGGGACATATAGAGAGTGTTTGGTTGTGGAAGGTTGTAATGAGATTAACACTCAAAAGGACTACGAATCCTCCTTCTTGGTTGGATTAGCATGGAAGGAAAACATATGAGATTCGAAATCTAATAATAACGTTAACGGATTAAAATATTAAATAAAATAGAACAAATATTTTTAATATTTTTTTTCAAATAATTTATTTGTGGAAGAAATATTTAATTTTTTTAATAAATACTAAAAAATATGATTTTTTTTAATTTTATATATTTAGTTAAATAATTTTTATGCAAAATTTATATTTTTTTAAGTGTCTCTGAATTAACTCGACTTAAAAAGGACAAAAATATTAACAATTATAATATTAAAAAAATACTAAAAATTAAAAAATATTAATTTTAAATATTACTACTATCTATAGTATTACTACTCTGGTAGTATATAAATAAACCCTCTTTATTCTACATCTCCAACCTAATATCACCTCACTAATAATCTCCTCACTCAATCCCACCGTATTCTTAATCCCTCCAAACCAACTAAAAATTAGGTTATTTAAATTTTTGATTTTTATACAATCAATTGAAAAAAATTGAAAAAAATTATTCATGTAAAAAATTAAATTTATTTAAGCTCTATTTGGCATATGGGTTGAGATTAGCCAACAAAAATTTAAAAGAGATTAAAAACCAAGTTTGGGAACTTGTAAAAAAGTCAAAAAGTCAAAAAATTATTCAAAAAGTTAAAAAGTTAACACTATTCACCAAAAGTCAACAATTACGGCTGCACAACTCCCAATTCGAATTTTTCCCTACTAATCAATTTTTACAATTTTTTATTACATATTTTTTCATAAAAAGTCAAAAAGTTAACTCAAACATCCATATTTTCAACCTCAATTTTTTAGTCCAAAAAGACAAAAAGTGCACTTATTTAGGACACCCAAACAACCCCTTAGCCAATAAGCAAACCGCATAAAATTACCCAATAAAAACATCCCCAAAACAGCAAAAAAAAAAATATATATATATATATATATATCTGCCACCACACAAAGAACATATATATAAATAAAATAAATAAATAAACAAAACAATTAAAAGAACTTGCTCACAGATTCAAGCCAATGGAGGAAGAGCACGGCTGGAAGTAGTGGCGAGACCACAAACGCGAGACAGATACACCTAAGGCCGACGCCGAGTTGAGCAGGCGCTAAGCAAGACCACACACGTCGCGTTGAGTGGGCGCACGTGTGTGGTCGGCGCTGGATAGTCCGAAGACGGAAGTAACAGTGGCACCACAGAGGAGTCGGCAACCACACACGTCACGTTGAGTGGGCAACGTGTGTGGCCTGCGTTGGAATAGTTGAAGCCGACGGCGGAGTTCCAGCAGAGTGAAGGCAATAGTGAACGACGTTGAGCAGTCGAGGTACGCGTCACAGGTGATGTCACGGAGACGACGCCGTTAGTGGCTCTAGAAAGCCAGAAGCAGCAGCGGTGTTACAGAGATGCCGACGTTGGTGTTATCTGGTGAAACAGAGCTCCGGAAAGTCTGGGTTTCTAAGGAAATTGCGTTGATTGGCTCTGCAATAACAACCAATGTGCACACGGCTTCAACCTCTAATCTGTTAAAAGAAAAAATGTGTGTCATTGGAGTCATAGATTTTGGGTGTCTTATATTCGGAGGTTTATCCCAGCACTTGCAGAGATCTCTGCCCATTTCGGTTCATTGTTAAAAGGAGATGCCAAGTTCGAGTGGAACCAGGAGCACCAAAAGGCCTTTGAGAGAATCAAGGCGGCCTTGACCTCGCCTCAGACCATGATAGCCCCGCAGCCCGGGGTGCCTCTAATGTTGTACCTAACTTCAACCCCCAAGTCCATAGAGTAGGTGTTATTGTTTTCCTGCTTTGGTGATCAATTTATTAGTCGCGAACAAATAAAATAAATTTTTTTTCCAAAAAATGACAATTGCCGACCAACAGTTTTGGTCGCAAAAAACATCTATTGCCGACCAAAACAACTCTTGGTGTGGAATCTCACTTTTGCCGACCAAAAGTTTTGGTCGCGAAAAGTAACAAATGGCGACCAAATTTTTTGGTCGTGGAATGTCAAATTGGCGACCAAACTTTTTGGTCGTTGAATGTGATAATTGGCGACCAAACTTTTTGGTCGCGAATGTGTCAATTGGCGACTAAGATATTTGGTCGGGAAAATATCACTTTTTCGCGACCAAAGTTTTTAGCGACAAAAAATTAGTCGCAGTAATTGAATATTTAGCGACCAAAAATTTAATCGGCAAATCAACTTTTGCCGACCAAACCAAAAATTTTGGTCGCGAATTACTTTTGCCACCCTCAATTGGCGACACAAAGTAGCGACCAAAAAAATTGGTTCGCGGAATAACT